TATACAACATAACCTTATATAAAGACATGTCACTAAGTCCTTTCACTCCTGAGTTTTTTTTTTTTTCCAAAGGAAAAGCATGAAAATCAAGAGAAAATCTGAAATTTGAATTGTAAAGTACTTTAAATGATTACTACTTTGAGAAAGAACTACCAAAGAGGTTTCATTTGAGTTGCCGAGTTACCCCATCGTATTTGGCACGTCTCTGTAATAGGCCATTTCCAATTTCCTAAAGCTCTCACTTTCAAAACGAGTGTAAGTGCAAAACCTTTCTTGAGAAAATGAGTTTCATTTGCATGAAGTTCATATCAGTGGCTTTGCAATTAGCCTCGTTTTAAAACAGAGGTGTGACTGAGGCAACTCAGTGACTCAGTGACTCTTACATGTCAGCGACTCTCACATCAGTAGGAGTCACTGAGGAGTGAAAGAATTGAAGACAATTATGTTGGTTTTCTCTCCAAAACTAGTCTATATAATATAAAATGTCGTTTGCAATCTTTGGATTCCAAAGGGGATCAAGTAAGCGAAATTTACACCAAGCTTAAAAAAAGCTGTATAATCCGTTACTCGGACTGTGTCAAACTTTTTGAGCATCTTTCAAATAAGTGCAATGAAATGTTCGAGATGTTATGGGCCATTTCTGAGTTACCTCAAGCCTCTGTTTCAAAGCGTGGCAAAGTGTAAAGCCATTGATGTGAAAATGATTTTTTCTTCTTATGCGAGTATAACTCATTTTCACAACAAAGGTTTCGCACTTAGCCTCGTTTTGAAAGTGAAAGGTTTTGGAACTCAGAAATGGCCTTTTGGCCTGAGGCTTGATTTGCGTCAATTAAATATTTAAGTGTACATTTTAAAGCGTTTATAATTAAAAAAAATTCTCGAAATAAGCAAGGTCAGTTTGTATGTAATGACTAATATGAGTGAAAAAATGCTTAATTAGTCGTGGGATGAAGCAGAAATGCACCAAAATAGCTAAATCCTGGATCCATTTTGTACACTCTTGAGAATGGCGTTCGCACGGAAATATGATCTGTGGAATTCAAAAACACTACACCACCATTGTAGTTGGTGCTATACTTTTTTTCTTCGCTTATAACAGCCGATGTACTCTGCATGAATTTACGCGAGTTAACGTATAACTGATGCGTCATCTGATAAGCCATACCGTCGTAGTAATACATCTGAGAGTAAACATAGTAAAATCCAGCGATCTGTATTTGTACGGTGCCATGTTGTCGACGGTAATGGATACTGCCTGATCTGTGCTGCACTTGCCAATTCCTCACCGTGCGCTTAGATACTGCATGGAAAGAAACACAGCCTTTGTAAAAAAGATACTACTGGTAAATGGTTTGGTTAATTGGGGAGTTTGTGGTGTCAGTTGGTAGAAATCCTCTGCTTGCAAACAGTTTCGTTTCAGGGAAAGCTGAAACTACACGGTGATAGTTGTTTCACACGATTTGCTATGTCGATTAGTCGTATCAATATAAGATTCTGGGACTCTAACCACCTATCCCTCCCCTTAGCCAACGTAGGTGTACAATCGTGGACAGAATAAAATAAAAAAGCAGACCCCCATCCCCCCGAAAACAAGGATGAAGCCGCGCGAAAGCCAAAACGCTCCGTTTCTCCATTCTTAATTTGGGAGGAGGGAGAAGATCAAAATTTTCCATCAACTTTGTCCAAGATTGTGCTTGAGGGATTGTTGTTTGTAATGCTTGCTCAGAGTAGCGTAAACAGCGTCCTCAAGGATGAGAACTGAGGCGAAAAAGGAGCGTCTGCTACGACACGTTTGCAATTGACGTCCGATTGATCGTCTCCGCCAATCAGAGACAAGGTACTGGCACGAGGCACAAATCAGGCAGCACCGAGACCAAGAGCCAACTGCGCCAGTTCAGATCATGTAACGTTAAATACAAGCACTATCAAAAGCATTATTATAGCTTCAGCTATTCTCATAAAGTAAGTACATGTGTTAAATGGGCTTAGTTAAGACAATTAATGCGGTGTTATTTATCCTTATTAATCATTAGTTAGGCATGTATTAATGGTTTTCCAGTTTTTTATCTACGCCAGGAACTTCTTATTAACCCATTTACACCGCTGCTTGTTACTAAGCACTACACGATGACCCATCTACTTCTAATCAAGGGGTGGCGGGCGTCTGTCGCCAGCAAAGTCTTTTACATGGGTTGAATTCCAGCCCGTTTTTTCTTAATCGGCATCGTATTTGTGAAGCAAAAATGCGCCAAAAAAGCTTCCCTCTCTATCCATGTAATAAACCTTGGTGTATGGGATATGAACTGAGAGAGTGTCATTCGCTCGAAGTAAGAACACCCCGCCATGATACTTCGTATTGTACTTGCGCAGGTCGCTAACAACGCTTGCCAAACTTTCCAGAACTTTGTCGTGGTTTATGTAGGTGTAATGACCCATTTGAAGTGCGGTACCATCATAGTAAAACATTTGGCTGTAAATGAAATAGTATCCAGTCTTCTTCACCTCTATATGACCAGATTCTGAGTGGTACACGATGCTGCCTTCTTTGTGCCTTACTTCCCAGTTCGTAATGCGAGGTTCTACTGGAAACAAAACCAAAACTTGTTAAGTAATGAAGTTAATAACTTAAAAAAGTTAATTGTTTCGACAGAAACCCTTAAACGTTTCTTGTAAAGCTTTCGCACTTATAGCATCCAGCTAATGTTCATGCAGGTACTGTGCATACGTTATTTCTTGAGCTCTGAATTCTTGATTAACAAACCACAGCAAAATGCCACAAAAAGTCTTAAAAGCTTACAGTTTCCTCACTTAAACAACTTGGCGATCATATATATGAGTAGAGAAATCTCTCCCATGATTCAAACAGATGGTGTGAAAGGATGTAAAAATTTAGCTTGGCAGTGAAATGAGAAAGGTTTTTTTTCCGTAATGTTATATTTCGTTTAAGTCCCCGTCTTTTTTGCGGTATTTCAAACCACATCGGACATTCTAGCATTCGGCCATTTATTTATTTATTTATTTATTTATTTATTTATTTATTTATTTATTTATTTATTTATATTCAATATCTGTCCAGGAGCATTCAACTTAGCAGAGCTAGTTTAAATGGAACCATTCCCCATAATATCAGCTTAGCAAGCCACTTAAAGTTTGGTCAAGGCGTTTAACTGATCCAGAGTTTTTACCATAGATAGTGGTTAATTTTAATTTAACGTATTCTAATTTAGCGTTAAACATGTCCCAAAAGAAATCGACAGTTACTTGGGTTTCGAATTCTTTGTCCGTTGCCAACAAGGTGGATGCTTTCGCTCATCTAGAAATAAAACATCATTAAGAAAATAATTAAAAATACTGAGACTTTCTTGATAAATCACTAAAACAAGAAATTACGTTGTCTCTATGTTTAACATGTTAGAATGGTTACTGTGTTATAATGGTTATCATGTTCACATGATTACTCACCGATGTTCCTGGCGGGCCAGGTGGTCCTGAAAAAGTAGAATTTTCACTATCGTTAACAACTCTTTCTTTCTTGTAGTTTCAGTTAGAAAATACACAAAGAAATACAACTATCTTGCACAATACCTCTTCAACGATTTTTCCCTCACAAAATGATAATTTTTGCTGACATTCGTTTTCGTTTACCTATGTTTTGAACTTACATTATGTCATCCTCTGTATTACTTTCGTGCCAAATCAAAATCGCTCACCTAGTTTGGCAAGGCTAACTGTGTTCTGAACTGACTGCATTTTTAGATAGTGGTAAAAGTCAGGTTAGTTAAACCCTTTTTCGTCTACGCATAGTCGGACAACCAAGGCAATTAATCTCCTCTGACTCTCGAGACACTTTTTTTTATCTAAGCCTGACTTGTTGTGGGGGAAAAGGAGGGTGGGAATCCGGGAGAATGGGGGGCTGAAGGGGTTCGGGAAGTGGGAGAGGAAATTTGTGGGAGGTGGGAGTTCTACTAGGGTGAGAAGCGGGAGAAGTAGGGCGGGGAAATTACGCAACAGTGCTTAATATTTCGCAATTGAAAAACGGCTAAACGGGGAAATCAAAGGCAAAAGGAGCGGGGGTCGTGAGTGCACGGTACGGAAGACGGAAGGTGTGGATCCCCTATGCCCCTCTATCTAAAGCAGCCTATGAAGGGGTTAACAATCGACAGGCAAAATTTCATGGGCAGGGCTCTACCTACAACCATGGTAGTTTGTAACATAACAAAGTGTCTAACCTTGCTCTCCTTTGGTACCCTGTAGGCCCATGTCTCCCTTTCGTCCTGTAGTACCCGGTTCCCCCTTTTCACCAGACGGCCCTTGCGAACCGTTATCACCTTTAGAGCCCTGGGGACCAGCCTTACCTATAAAATATATAACGTTTAAATAGATTTGTCACACTCCTAATTTGTTGTATAGTTCGTCTGTAGGAAATGATGATTTAAACGGGTATGGCTTGAACAAGTTGCGCACTCATCTAAAGCAATGAGGAGGAGTGTTGACAAATCAGGCAAACGTAAGTCAGATTTTTGTTTTATTTTTTTAAAGTATTATCTCGTATTTTCATTTTTAACGACCCAATTTTATATGTTCTTTTAAGTTTGATTTCCATTTATCGAGAAAAAAGGCCAAAATCCGTTGTTTACTAGTAAACGTTCTAGCTTCGCGTGCATATCTCAAGTCACTACGTAGCGACATTAACCAATGACTTAATAGAATGGGGCGAGATATGTTTAGTGCTGTCGCAGAGCTTATTCTCTTTTTCGAAGCAGCAGTTTTTACAGCACAGTCACTTTAAAAGTCTTTCCCTGCGTTGTGGTTTATATCCCGTGTGCAACGGCTTTCTGTCTTTCATGATGTCTGTGAATGACACAGCACTAAACTGATGACGACGGTAGTTTTTGAAAAAAAGAGCGCGCTTGAGCACGCCAGAAGCCCATGCTCTCTGCACGCGAGCAAATGAAGCGGCAAGCAGGGAGACTCAGGAAAAGAAGCGAGCTTACCCTCTTGTTCCCCTCCCTCGGTTTATGACAACATGCAGTCCAGAATACCGAATACTGACCTGGTGGACCCTCTGGTCCCTGCACACCATGGTCTCCTGGAGGTCCCTTTGGTCCTTGAAGTCCTGTGGCCCCAGGAGGGCCTTCTTCGCCTTTAGGACCTGGATCTCCCTTGTGCCCTGAAGGAAACGTGCCATTTGTATGTGGTGTTAGGATCTTACGATTAGCCTGCTCAAGGACTTCTGATAGTGTAGTGAGGCGCGAAGGCAGAGAGGGTGGGAGATAGTCACTCACCCCTTACCCTCCTTCGCTGTTTTTCCTGCACACATCTTTTTGCGCCGTCCCCACAATCTGAACGCCTGGTACAAGCTATCTTAGGATTATACACTGCTTAGTGGAATGCTCATGCTGGAGTTTCTCTAGTAAGTATTTTTATCGTCGCGATCAAGTATATTGCGCGACTTCATCGGAAAAGTCTGCTACGCTACCGACCAGTAGTAGGGGCATTATAATTAGCGCAAAAGTGTCAGTGAAGAATTGCATGAGAAATTTAGTAACGACTGCGTGTAACACCAAGGTTGAAAAAAAAATGAGAAAAGGAGTGTGATTACGTAACAGGAGCTCCAAAATTAAATTCAGTTCAAAATGCCATTACAGACAATTCGTCCATGTCTTAAATTCCTTGACTTGAAGTTTTTTGGTCTACCCAGGACCTAAGAGTTGTGACTCTTAAAGATGACCCACTTAAATTGGGTGCCTGGGTAACTCTTACAAAAAAACTAACCTCGTTTACCTCGTCTTCCTTTACGACCTAAAACGAAAGGAAAAACGTTGGTCAGTTGTAATTAAAAGCCCAACAAAACTTGCAAGTGGCATTCTCTATTACTAGTATTAATAGTTTGTAGTGATATTCTTTTAAAAAGATATAGGTTAACTTTACAGATTGGAGTTCTAGGAGAAATTGAATGAAGGCAGGTTAATGATAGCATTAGCACCGAGCATGGGTCAGCCCTAGATTCCAAAAATTATTACAGCTCAGCATAGCTTATTATCTAGTGAATTGGTCTCCAGCCGTCTGCACTATCGGACAATCAACCATGCATATTGAATCATGCAATTGTTGTGCAATCCACACGTCCACGTATTCCGGTAGTCCCGTCCAGTCATATTTCCGTCTGCCGCTAAGGGTCACTTGATGATCATTTTCAAACAATTAACACGCACTCATCACATGAACGCTTAAAGATATGTACATAAAACTAAACATTTTGAAAGAATTTGTGTAATCGCTGATAAGACTACACAATGCAGACAAAGAACGTTTAGAAGCGCCTTTTTAGAAGGGTTCTTTTATTGATCTCTCCTTGTGGATGTAAAAATTTGTATGCAAAATGTTCACAATTGTTTTCAAGTCTATTCGACCCCATTAGAACGATGTCAAAGTCATTTTTTCCTCCAGCATCATTTATACGAAGTCGGGATCTTGTAAATATCTATTATTTTGGTCAGGCCATTGTTATAAACTTCTATCGTTTTGTTCTTTCAAATGCAATTTACGCCCACGCCACAAGGGCATCGTCTGTCGGGTGTGAATTAGTATTATTCAGAATACACAGGTGACGGGATGAAGTGTATATTTTGAAACAGTTAATTAATTGTCGGTTCATTTGGCACCTCTTAAGAGAGTGCCAGGTGGGGTGTTTTTACCACCTTTGGTAAAATCTGGTAGAATTTTTGCCTTCAAGGGTTACATTTTGATCCTTATATCTTAGCGCTGACTGGTTTGTGCATCGGTAGCTAGACAGCATAGCATCGGAATTCTGAAAGTTACTTGCATTTTAATCGGGAAGCCGGCGAATGTAATGAATTAAGAATCTGCAAAAGGCCTAGTCACTTTCAAAACTTGTGTTTTATTAATTAAAAGTTCTCGGAGAGTCACCATAATACGTTTTGCACATCAGGTACAGATTCGATTTTTTTCCCGACACATTTCTATAATAGTTGCTAAAATCTTTTGCCAAAAGATCGTTAGAAAGCCTTGTCGAATGATTTCCTATGACCGTGTCGTTATGTTATGGTAAATAATCCCAATCTGTTTAAAGACAATAGAGCCAACAAAACCAGCCTTTTTTTGTCAAGTTGCCAAACCCGTCAAGGGCTGAAGACAAATTACTCTGGTTAACAAACAATGGTTTAGAAGGCTCTCTTGAAATACGTGACTCAAAATTCGTGACATTTGTAATACCATTCCGATTGGATTTATTTTGTTAGCCAAAACAACCCGAGAACTTCCGAGTAAACAAAAAAAGTTCACGCTAAGAAATCAGTAGGACTTGGCAGAGTTGTTAAGGACAAAAGGCACAAGGTGATATTGAAGTGAAAAGAAAAGAAAGTTTAAAGCGATTACGATAAAGCAGAGAATATAATTGTGTGCAACCTTTCTTTTAAGTCCTTGACCAATTTCAGAGCAAAATGGCCGCTTTGACAATTGATTAAGTTCATATTTGATCAATTCTTTGGGATAAAGCTGCCGCTAACGCTGAACGCTTGAGGGCAGTACATGTCGGGTGTAAAGCTTTCACCTCTCCAGAAAACTGCATGCTTCAAAATCCAACGAAGCTTGAAAGTAATTGTGTGTTCACTTCGAGTTTCAATTGCCGAATATGCTCCACTCGGTTCAATATCGTAGCGTGGCAGTAATGGGCGCTTAAAAGTAGCTTGTGGCCGTGAGCCTTCGAGAGCAGACGCCTTTTTCAGCTTTTGTTTCACTCTCGTTTTATCGGTGAGTGAAACAAGAGCTGAAAAAGGTGTCTGCAGGCTATATGGCCGGCTGCCAGTCAAGATTTTCAAAACTCTAAAAATGGTTGTAACCATATAGAAAGCTCTATATTCCTTATGTTCTAACCCCTAGTTCACTTTGTCTACTCAGCAAATATATTAGAGAAACAAGTTAAATTAGCCACGAGCGCATTCGTCGGTCATTTGGTGATTTTAAGACCTTAGCCTGCTGCCCGTCATTTAAACACTTCCTAAAAAGTGAACTAAAGGCCTTTATTTGTCTATGCAATTAGAAGAAGCACCAAATAAAGGTTGATTGAAGGAATTTGGAAGTGAGCGAACACGAAAATGTTACCAAAAATGCGCAAGTCTCTTTATTGTAACTAACAACAAAGCTTGTCTTGTCTTCTTTAATGTGAGGATTTCAGTTAAAATCCTTAAAATGTGAAGTGCCATATCAAATGTTACATGAATCGGTAAGGCGTCATTACTCTTGAAATGCCGGATATTTTCATCGTAAATAGCCTAAATATACATAAGTGGAGTCTTCCTTTTAATGCTTTATCAAATAAAACGTTTCCTACTCCGGAAGTGAGAATCTAACAATTTGTTGTTACATTTAGCAAATTAGCGGACGCGAAGTTCTGTCATCTATATGACCTTTTTTAATCAGCCCAGTTTCGATGGGTGCAAACTCGAATTCCGCTACGTTTCAGTTATTTTAAAGGTCTCTCTTCTTGACATAAGAATATCTTCTAACGACCGGCTTCTACAGGCACAATGTAATAAGAAATCCGTCCGCTGCATTTTGGTCACCGCTACCGCGGCTTCCAATCCAGTCTCTAATACTGAGATTTTTTAGCGCACTGATTAGAAGACGCTTGTTTTTGCAGAGATATTGACGCCGTCGGCGTAATCTATTCATTTCTAATTGTTTCATTTTCTCGGAATCGCGTTTTAAAACACTAGTTTATCAGTGGTCTTGTCAATCTACCGGCACGACTTTTTGTCTCAAATGCGGAAGTAAACACGTCAAAGTTGGGTACATCTATCTGTTTGGTTTCCCTTTGAAGTTTTCTTGGAGATATTTATTTCAACTGGCACACGTCGTTTACGCCCTTCTACAGATCAATACCCTATCTAGTACTTGTTTTCGCGGAAGAAACTCCTTCTTATAAACTACTCATATTGGTTTTCTTACGTGTTCCACGACACGATCAAACCGTTGGCTATTAAACGTTGTTCAGGCGTCCCAGATCTTCCCTCCATCGAACTTATAAGTTGTTTTTTACAGCCTTTTTTTAACTTTATGCTTTATTAGCTAGTAAGCTTTTCATGTTATCGGCCTTGACGGTGTGTGTTTTTTAAGGTAAGCTTAATTCCTTGCACCCTTGTTAACCTTTTAGCAATCAAATACCGAAAAAATGTCATGTTTATTGAAGCAACAACAGACTTATTACCTTGGAGACACGGACAAATACCTCCCATCTGTCTTTTAGCCCTTTCTTGTGATGTATCGGCTAAAGCAAGCTGCAAACAGCAGAAATGAACAATTACTTTCCGTCCCCTCTTAAAAACACTAATTACAAATTCATAATAGTCTTTGAATACGAAATTAATTGCGACAACGTAAAAATCGCGCCTCTGATAACATCTATCAGCCTAACCTTGGTTTTCAGCTGTTTAGATTTCTCCTCCAAAACACCTTCAGTTTCACCCGCAGATCTTCCGTGAGATTTCTGAGCTGTGAAGCTGCCTTCCAACTTGTAAACACGAGCTGCCAATGTGCCTGCGACTGTCTCGAGAGATTGTATTCTTGCTGTCTGTGATATTACAATACGGTACAAAGAAACCATACAAATCGTTGTTAACACGATGTATAACACAGCTATTGCAATCCCAAAATTAGCCGCGCAGCGATGCCCACGTGTCTTCTCTCGTTGGTCCATTATTTCAAGAATGTTTAACAAGGAAACTCTAAACGCTGAACTTGTGATCTGTTTTGATCCGAGCTCGATGACTTGCGAAGAATTGTTTCATTACCCACGGTTCACTGAGCTTTAAGGAGTTTCTCGGAAAATTCATCTTTCATCGCGCATGTGCCCTCTGATTGACAAAAAGATTTCTTTTTCAGAATATCTTACGACCGGTAGGGTGTAACTTAGTCACGTGATGATAGATAAATCTCAATGTCTGTATCAGCGAAAGATATAATTACAAAGCTTATCAACCCTAGATTTAACCGCATTCGTAAATTAAAACAAAGCAAATATTTCCGGACGAAAACAGTGACAAACAACTAGTGAGCAGTGCAACCTCGTAGATTCACTCTAAGCAAGAGAGAATGTCTTGATCTCAGACTACCTCGTAGTTATGAACATGCGATCCATTTCAAAATAATTGGTAGGCGTACAAGGGCGCCAATCGATCTACTGCTCCAAAAACCTGATCCATAAGTAAGATTAAGTGAAATCAGGGGCTGGTAAAATAAACCCTTCTCTCAGGCCCATCCAGTTCCAATAGATGGACTTAGTTAGTGGAGGTGGTGCTCAGGCACCCACGTGGTGGAAAACGATTTCTCGCGCGCGTATTGGTCAAGAACTATGCAAGCATTAAGAAATGACGCGAGTGGCGCAGTTTGTTTTTCTCCTTCTCTCGCAAGCGATTTTCCGAGAAACGTAAACGAAAATGGACGTATAGAAATCTCAATACTATTGTAAAAAACAAAACGACGACAATGTTTATGCTTTTATCAACCAAAGAAATGATGTCAAAATGTTCAAAACTTTGCATTGAAACCTCTCGCCTGCGGTTCGTGTTTCCACTTGAGGTTTGAACATTTTGACGTCATTTTTTTGGTAGGTAAAGGTAAAGACCATGAACAATTGTTGTCAGTTTGTTGCTTAGACCTGTGAGACTGCCTGGCCAGAGCAATAAGTTTGATGATCTAGTTGAGCAGAGGTGGGTCGGATCTGGCTGTCACAGTTTTTTCTGGATTTTCTATTTGCAGACTTCCAGAAGATAGCTGGCAAACTTAGGGCGCATTCGGTTGACGTTATTACGGATTAAGAGTACATAATGGAATAAGTTCTAAAAATTACTGACTTGTTTTAGCATCTCCTGTATGGGTTATTTTAAGAAATCTGGTAAGAATTGATAATTAAGATGAATGTAGCATTCCAATGGTCCAAAATTTCGCGGTCGAAATACTCTGAAGCTGAGAAAGGACCGTGCGAAGGTTGCTTTATATGAAGAAGGTTTCGATTTTGTTCTCAGATCAATTTTCTTTATTGTTTTGGCTTTGCATTGCCTTTCTTCGTAATTGGCCAAAAATTCTCGAGCCCTTTTCTCATAACAAATTACGCAGAAGTGAAATCAAAATTCATTTTACCTCCGTCGTTCACACACTTCTCCCGCCCTTTGTTTATCGTGTACTGTACGTATCGTGATTGGTCCTTAGACGAATGCTTTTGTTTAAAGCCAATATGCTATTGGCGGATCATTTGGAATTCGCTAAATAGGATTAAGTAGAGTGGGAAAGTAAGAAAATTGTATAATCTATTATTGAGAGATAATGAACAATTCCATTCAAGGGGAGCTTAGCATCTAAATACAGGAAAAGTTTCTGCGAGGTTAAATGTGTCATACGTATGACCTGGTAGGACGATTAAAGACTCGTTTCAGTCGAAAAGAGGGCACATGGTGCGAAGCGAAATGGCGCTACAGGACTCTACGCAAACCGCAAAAAATGTTTGTGGTAATAACTTTATTATGTAATTATTTATCTATACGGGCATTTAATTACAACCCCTGAAAAAAGCAGCTGCAATATATAGCAGCCACAAAAATATCTTGGACAAAAGGGAAAATGAAACCGGAATGCTAGGGCTCTGTATGGAACGTAGTCACTCTATAGCCGGATGGGCCACGTGACCAACTATCAGGGCGGCTACGTCCCATACTGACCCCTGACATTATTTGGATTTTCAAAGGAGCTTACCAATTGGCTATTTAAACAAACAAACAAACAAAGTAACATTAAATACGGTTATTGCTTGCAAAAGACCAATGTGGCCAAAAATGTTTCTTATCTTACAATATGCATTAACATAATCAAACGATTTTTGAGGGGAAGATGCCGCCTGCCGTTATAAAAACAGGAAATTTTTCTCGCATTAGTCCAGACGTCAATCAAAAAAGAATTAACTTTAATTCAAGAGTTCGCAGAAACGTAGTGATCATGTGCAGAAATCTGCATTTTCCCCCGCTGGATTCCCGATTGATGGTCTTAGTTTTACGTTTGAAATAATTGTAGAGCTTGGTGGCAGAATGACGGCGCTAAGAATGGCAAGGTTGAAAAGAGTTGAAGGTAGAAATTCAAAACGGGGTGGACAATTGTAAACTTCCTCTATCTTTCTTTCTTTTACCACTTAACCGGCAAAGTAATTTAAAAAAACTGCATAGTGCAAATGGTTCTGTATACCGATTAAAATGGAAAGTAAAACCAATTGTTCTAGATTTTGGTTACAGGCTCAGAACTCTGCAGAGAAGCAGATGGCTCTTTGTTCGTGGCAGAACAAATACATTACAAAATATACCGATCTGACAAGAATGAAAACTCCCTGATTAGAAATTTTATATTGCTGTTTATGCGCTTTTCCAGCTTTCTTCTTCAATCCAAAGCTTTTAAATCCCAGCTTGTTTCTCTGCCCAGTTACTCATAGTACGCTGATTACTGTGAAGGGGTGTGGTCAGTTTTAGAGGTGAAGCAAAAAAGCCCCGAAGAAGCTACCAGTAGGATCCATTAGATAACGCTTCGTGTAAGGATTACGAACAGAAATGGTGCCGTTAGCCTTAACATGAAACACGCCACCATGGTACTTTGTGTGGTACTGCCGAGAGTTGGAGTCTTTTGAAGTGATACTTTCCATACTGCTCATCACTATTTCGCCACTGATGTAAGTGTCGTGAGCCATCTGAAGAGTTTCCTTACCACCGTCGGCATAGTACATTTGGCTGTATATGAAGTAGTAGCCGGCTCTTTTTACCTTGATTTCTCCCCTGGTCTCTTCATACTCCATGCTGCCTGACTTGTGTTTCACATTCCAATTAATTATACGATGAAGATCTTAAAAAAGGATTATAACCTGACAGTTAGAATCAGTGTTACATAAAGTGCAACCTTGATATAACGAAGGGCCAAGGGAGTGGAAAAGTTTGTTTGCTATAACGAGGCTTCGTTATATCGAGATTCTCAGTTGTCAAATACCATAAAATTCCGAAAATAAGCCCCGAGGCTTCTATTTTTCAAAGGCCCTTCTTGAGGGGCTTATTTTTGGAGGGGCTTGTATTCGGAGGGGTTTATCTAGGGAGGGAAATTTGCGTTCCAAAATTGATTGGGCTAGCCTTATAGTTGGAAAGAGATTTACCGTTTTTGCTTTGTTTTGCTTTGTATTTGAGGGCAATTTCCAAGTACAAGCCCCCGGAGGGGCTTATATTCGGACGGGCGATTTAACGGAGGGTTTTTTGCGTTACGAGTTTGGGGGGCTTATATTTGGAGGGGCTTATACACGGAGGAGCTTATTTTCGGAATTTTACGATATTTTGCCATAACTGGGCTAAAGAAAAGCGTTCGTTATGCCGGGGACTTTGTTAAACAGAGGTTCGTAATATGGAGGTTCCATCGTATAATTTCTTAAAATCATCACGCACAAACTTTTTCAAACTGCCCGCTCTTCACAACCGCAATACCTCCTCACGCAGGAGGTTTTAGAGGGCTTCTTCACTCGTTCCCTCCCCACGAAGGAACGTTTGCCTGGGAGGCTACTACTGCAGGAAACACCCATTATATACTACATGTAGTTGGAGCACAGAGTTCTGAACTTTTAAAACGTCTTATGTTGATTATCTGAAGCATTTGCATAGAACGACACACTTTAACAATTCAGAACAATTGAGCAGCTTATCTCCTTCGTGCCTAAAGACTTACAATCATATGTTGTGTTTCTTCCTTTGCCGACCATGTGGATGCTTTCGTTCATCTGAAATACAAGGTATGATCTGAGTCTTGCATGCCTAAATCCTCATCATAGGAAATATTTATACTGACCCATTTTTCTCAAATTACACTGTAACAAAAACCGTTCTATCTTTTTATCTTCAATGACCGTTGTCGCCAGAAACGAATGCATTGATTCCGTACCCACCTGACAATCCTTTGTTGCTCTGGCGTTAAACCTGTTACAAATCTTGTCATCGTCATAACAACATTGAAAGAGGGTTCGCTTTCCTTTAGCAAAATGTTGTATGATCTGTGTGTTATTTTTTCCCGCAAATAAATAAATTAACAAATTGTCGCACGACGCTCAAATAAAGAATTTCATGGGACAGTTCACCTAGGTCAGTATAATGTTGTTAGGGTACTATGACACGTTCTTGAATCCAAATCAATAGTTGTTGCCAAGTGTACGAACTACCATTTCTTCGTACACTTGGAAAAACAACTGACAAAGAAAACATGTATCATTTTCTTGTGTCCGCGGACATTGCTATTCTTTTGCTGCTCTGCTGGATCCCTGTTACATGTCCCTGATCTGTAGTGCGCTTGATTTGTCCCTGTTACACGTTTTTTCGTCGCAACAGGACCATTCACCTCTCCCAACCGTAAGTTTGCTGAATGTGATGGACTTCGATCGTACTTGAAGTGCATGTCATCTGTACTCGAAACCTCATCTGCTCATCTCCAGAATAAATCTTTGAGCATTAATTCTCCTTATATGTCTGCCTCTCGAATAATGAGACTTTCAGGAGAAATTGGAGGCTGATCATTATTATAAGAAAGCACCTGTGTGTAATACTCACCAAAAGACCAGGTGGGCCGGGCGGTCCAGGTGGCCCTGAAAGGTAATTCAGAGAAATTAATGGCTGAATCACGATGTTATCTTTTCGGGTTTAAAAAACTTAAATTTTTGCGAGCATCTAACCTTTTAAACGTAACCT